TTCATTTTTTTTTCTTCTGAACATAGGCTGTATAAAATATTCTCAAAATAGTAAAAAAAACCTTTGATAATTTACTATTTGATAAAGAATTTACGTATTTATTATTGATTAGGACTATGTATACCATTATTTATAATTATGGAGTCGGTGTTGGAAGATTTGAAGATTTTATAGTTTCCTTGAGCTGTCACTTAACAGCCTGGCACATTTTTACGATGGTGGATCAAAGTATTTTGGTTTGACTATAGAGCGTGAGAACACGCACACAGTCACAATATTTTAGTGTGAATAAAAATAGCATCGAAATTACCTAAACTTGACATGCCACGCTAGACGTAAACGCTCTTAATCTTCCATCAAGATTAACTGGTAACATAGTTTGATAAGTAAATAGAGGTGTGTCACAATAATTTGCAAACGTTTGCATTTTTACGCCAACATTTGCATATTCTGCAAAACTAGAACAGACTACCGCCGTATTCACAAACATTACTATGAGGTCTCACAGTGCGCGTGGACGCACAGGGTCACACACGAACCAATCACAGAGCTCTGTTCAACGCTGTGCGTTCGATTTGCTGCTTTACTTAAGCAAGCATCGTTTGTGTATACGGGCGATTGACCTTTACGATTAAAGTACCACGATCATTTCAACTAATTTCTCAAAACTTGAAAGATTATTAAGTTACCTACTTCAACTTTGTAGTATGCAAATTTTACAAGTCCATTTAATGCTTAAGTTATGTGTGCTCTGTAGGGTGATATTCAACACATAAAATATTGTCAAGTTTATGTTTATGACAAGCATTTGTAAATATTAAGTTATTTACATAACTGGTTGCATTTCCAAGTACTAATTTGAAGCCCTGAGGCTTATCAATACGCTCAAAACTGTTAATTTGCAGCAAAGTTGTAAGTAAATGTAGGATATTTTGATTAGGATTAGAATAAATAATTAGAGATAAGGGATATGAAAAAAGAGTAATATAATAAAATTTATAAAGGGTTTTATTTTTCGATCATTTTGAGTATACTATGAAATAGCTATTGACACTGTCTACTAAAAGTTGTGATACTTAAAAAAATACAATAAATAGATTCAATTATTTGGTATTTCACCAGGCGTATTTCCCGTAGCCACCGTAGCCGTAGCCGGAGCCGTAGCCGCCGTAGCTACTGTAGGAGATGGGAGAGTAGGAGTGGCCGACGTAGGGGGTGGAGTGAACGTAGCTGACGGGAGCGTAGGACTTGACGATAGGGCTGGAGTGAACGCTGTATTGGGACACAGATGAGATCGCGTGGGCTGGTGCTACGTATTTAACGATGGGAGCAGGTGCTACGTAAGTTTTGGCTACGACGGGAGCGGCGACGTAGGAGTGGGCAGGAGCAACTGCGTAGCCGCCGTAGCCGCCGTAGCCGCCGTAGCCGCCGTAGCCGCCATAGCCACCGTAGCCGCCATAGCCGGAGTAACCGCCATAGAGGTGACCGGCGCGGGTCAGACCCAGCAAGCAAAGAACAGCGAATACCTGGAAATAAATGAATAATGTAGAATAGAACTGAAGTGAGTTTATTTATTTATTGTTGAATCACCTGAATAAATCTTTTAATCTAGTCTGTGATAAATTGCTTACATTGTTCCCGATGAGTAGTGATACATTTTAGGGCATAAATGGAAGATCATTTGGTGGATCTACAAATTGGAACTGTAAGCACTAAAGCTTTTAGTAATAGAGATATTTATCTCAGAAAATAATTG